ATTCATAAAATGAAATACTACATAGCAATAAACAAAAAATATATATATCAACATGGATGAATCTTCTCAAAAATAATAAGGAAAAAAGAATGACTACTGTATACTTCTAACACATGATGCTCCAGAACAAGAAAAATCAGTCTACAATGAGTAAAGTCAGAATAATGTTTACAATCTTTACTGGGATGCTGAAAATGTTCTAAAATCTTGTTATCTGAAGGTACGTATATGCAAAATTCATCAAGCTTTACACTAAAACTCTATATACTTTATGATAGGTATCCTAAACTCAATACAAAAATTTTAAAATATATAATCAACTCTAGGAAAATTACCTAGCTATTAAATAGTCCACTTTCAATTTTAGCACCTTCTGGAGAATACTGGAGTCTTGGATGAGATACCGAAGCGCTCGTAGCCCTGCTGCTCGCACTTCTTTTGCTTCATTTAATAAAGCTAACCGCAAACTGCATGAAAACAAAAAAGAAGTTTTGCTGTATGGGTTTCAAACACACAAAATTATAGTACCAAATTATTTCTCAGTTGAAATATGCAAAATTTCTAGTTATGCATGGTTAACTCTATCTAACTGCATTTCACGTATATAAAAAACCGTTCACTCCGAGGCATGAAATTTCACTTAATGTTGTTGTAATTTGTGTCTTAGTACATTCTTACCAATCAAGACGTTTTGTTCCAGCTTCTGTAACATATTTTATATAAACAATGGGAAATTAAATACGCCCTGTTCAAGCTATATCATATATGCCTCTACAATCTACTCTCCTCTAATCTGCCTACCTGCTTCCACCCCTCCCAAAGAATCATCAGTTTAAACCAATAATAAAAATACTTTATAACGATAGCCAGCACAGACCATTTATATCAATTTGAATTCCTAAATGTACCAAAAAAATGTTTATAAAACTGTATAACATAATGCCTCTATTAGTGTGCTTGGGCAAATCAAGTTTGCCATAAGCACACTTTCTCTTAAGTAAGACCTATAGTTACAGGTTCCTCTTATTCCTGGAATATGAGAAATTTAGTCTGTAAACTTCAGATCTAAGAAGTTTAAATAAAATATTCCAAGTATTTTTGAACATTTGCCTTGATTCTTCATATTTGGTAATTAGAAAATAGCACTAAGAATCACA